ATTTATCAGATAGATAGATAGATAGATAGATAGATAGATAGATAGATAGATAGATAGATAGATAGATAGATAGATTGATTGATTTCCTGTAATTGTTAAAGGTGAGGGTTTTCCTTGGGTCCACCATCATCTAACACCTCTAGAAGGTAAAGGGTTGGGAAAATCTGCAGTAATTAGACTTTGAGACGTATTCCTTAAATGACAAGCTTCATGTCACACGCATCACTAGAATAGCTGAGCGCCTTACAAAAACTGAGGCCACTTGGTTAAGTTTTAAAGAAGGCAGAGTTCTAAATGAAGTCAGTAAAAGCTTGCCCAGTTTCAGTAGTCTTACTTGAAACCCAGCCAACATTTCTCTGGCTTTTTTGGATTAGACATTAACTGCATGTCATTGGAAGGATATTAGCAAACGCTGCCAGTTTTTAATGTGCCTGGTAAAGGATCTTAGCTTTATTTCCAGAAAGATAATGATATCAAGAATTCTGCTTGGCAGTCCCTAACACTGCACAGAGGGACCTGTTTAGCCAAATGAGCACATTTATTTATTTATCTTAAAAATGTAACATCCTTCCTAAGTACTGGAAATTCATACTCAAGTAAGCAAACAATAATTTACAGAAAATATTAGGCTCTCTCAAATGTTTGGCTCATATTGTATCCCAACAGAACAGGTTTTCTTTATAATGTAACCATCAGCAAGAGCACCATCTTCTGTCAGCAGCCCAGGAAATTTAGAGGATTCATGGGAGAGCCAGCCGTTAGCAAATCCAAGGTCTGGCAAGTAACACAGGAGAACTTGTTCCAAAAGACTTATGGGACAACTCCCATGATCGGAATCTAGCAACTGAGGGATGTAACTTATTCAGAACAGAATAGATGCAACAGTGGCAATATTCTGGGTATACACCTGCGCATAAATTCAAGAAAGTGCACGAAGTACTCCGTGGAGATGTAGATGACAGAAAAGGAGGGAGGGAAGGAGACAGACACACAAGGTTGGGTCAATGTGTATCACCTGCTACCGGACTTCGGATAGGATGTGGCTGATCATGCTTTCCTGAAAGAAACCATAGATACCTCATGAATGCAAGAATTGGTGGTAATTCTATCTCCATCTGCCTTGTTATCTGTTGTGAGGTAAACTCCACTTCACACTCTCTAATTCCTGATATACTTCTGGGACAATTTCCTCTTTTAGAAGATAGAGGAAGAAACAAGGGAATCAGCTTGATTTCACGGATTTTATGTTAGCCATAGGCAAGGTTCAGTAAATGAAATCAAAGAAGTAAGCACTTGGGAAAGCTGTAACAGTGTTGGTGGTGGCATCTGTGGGGGTGAGGGTCAGAAAAGTGAAGATGGTGGATGTGACCATGTAATTGAAGCCCTGCGCTCTTTTGGTGTATATGTCACACACGCACAACACATGTTTAAAAAGGGTAGGACCTCAAATGTGTAGTTGTGCCTGCCATTTTGATTTTTTTGAACACTTCCCTATGGATGCCCAAGTACTGGCCTGTGAACAGCCCCATAAGGCTCCTTGATACATCTCTTATACCCTCTCCCCAGGGTACATTCAGTCCCAAGATCTGAAAATATCTTAAACCTGGAGGCAAGTTCCCACTTTTCCTGGAGCATTAGCTATGCAGTTGAAGTAGCCCTTTTTTCACATAGGATCAAAACAAGAAAATAGTAAGCCCACTGCTAAGTAAGGATGGTGAGATGTTAATAAATGATGAAGAGAAGGTGGAACTCCTGTTTTGTTTCTGTCATTTCCCAAAAAGGAGACTCCCTCTTACAAATATGGTGCAACTGGTGAAGGCCCAGATTGCAGTTCAAAGTGATTGGAACTGGTTAGATTTACAGCCTTCTTTCACCAAGCAACTTTTTTCTATTATTATCCATGATCCAATCTGTGTCTGCTGTTAACCTATCTTCTATATTTTTCTGCCTTAGATGACTTGGTGCAGATGCCACCAACACCTCCCAGCAGCCATGGCAGTGACAGTGATGGATCTCAGAGCCCAAGGTCCCTGCCTCCCTCTAGCCCAGCCCGCCCCACTGCTCGGTCTTCTACAGCAATCTCTTCTTCTCCGCTCCTCACAGCACCACATGTAAGCAAAGAGAAGAGAGTTAGGGCTTAATTGCAATGCCAGGTTGCCATGTCACCTGTATGATCCAGCAACCATTTTGGGAGGGCAGGAACTGAAAATGTTGCTCTGTATTCACCCCCGCCCAGTGCAAATGCAACCTCCAGATGGATTTTCCTGCTCTGCTTTCAAAGTATGGTTTTCCTGCTTCTGTTACCTCGGATGCTGCTGTCCAGATTGCCAGTTGTGCTTTGTTTTCTTCCAGGCCAACCCTACACTTTAGCTTCACAGAGACAAGACTGACCCTTCAACTGATTCCAAAGTCCCTAATTTATCAATAGTGCTGGAATAGTCTAAAAATGATTACCATTTTTCTTATCCTCAGCCATCTAATTTTTCACTAGGCTTTCTTTTTCTAACAGTGGTGCACCATTCTTTTTCCAAAACAATGAAATGGTGCACCAGCGGACTTATCAGTATGAAAAAACACCCAGTGGAAAAGTTGGTAGCTGAAGAAAAGAAAAAGAGTACTTAAGGTTTTGCTGAGTTTTGAGCCAGCAATATTCTACATGTTAAGCATGGGTTATAACCACTATACTACTGCAGCACCTTTGCTAATAGTAGCTCCAGACAATATGTGAGAACTACAGGACAATGGGAGAACATTTTTTTATTCTAAAATTGGTTTTTGTGCCTATACACACACACACACATACACACACACACGTGTTTACATAAATACATACATACACATTTTGATGCTTTAACTTGGAATTTATAAGTTTAATTTATAGACACACACAAACACATATAGCAGTGACTACAGGGGGTTCAAAATCAGCAAGGTGACAAGCAGAGTTTTATGATGCAAGCCCCAGGTTTCTCATGATGCTCCATCCACCATCTTGCTGATTTTGACCCCACCCTCCACAGATCCCTTTGTATACACAAATAAATGCATATAAAGATACCTATATTCAGTCTGACGGACCCACAGGAAGGAAAGCAATTGGCAAACATCTTGCTGGAACAGAAAGTTGGAAGGGCAGAGCAGCCAGAGAATTGTCCAGTAGGGGGACGTGATAGCCTGTACTCTATGTGGAATACTTGGCAAGAATAAGAAGTCATCTCCTTGCTCAAAGTATGAGATTCATAGAATCATAGGGTTCAATTGGACCTTGGAGGACTTCCAGTCCAACCCCCAAATGATTCAGAGCCTCCAAAGATTCAGAATGGGTCAGAGACATCTAGGACAAGGGTAAAAGGTGAAACCACTTCATATATTCACACATTGGCAGAACCATAATTTGCTACTAATTAAGAGTATTTCAGAAATCAGGAAGATAAAAATGGTGCCATCATGAGGCATTTATCAGGCTCTGATAATCCTGAAAGCAAAGCTTGTTTAGAAATTTAGAATCAATTGTCATCAAAATGCTAAAAATACTTAGCTTTGACTTTCTTTTCCAGCTCAGCTTAGGGAGTCCATTGAGTTTCTGGATGGGTACTTGAGATCTGTAACATAGTAAAAATAGACATTTAAGCTTAATTCTGATTAAATGAAGGTTGAGGAAGCCCTGAGCAAGATACCCTCTTCCCCAGTTCCAGTCCTAGTTTTTCACCCATCCATCCCCATGCCAGCTTTTCTCCCTCCTGCTGCTCTCTTTCTGTCCCCCAAAGCAGTGACATTGGTGCCTTTTCTTTCTGTTAACTTTAAAAGGTTTCTGGTGCACTGCAGAACAAGGCTAAAGTTGCATCAGAAGGCCTCTACTGGAGGGAAGAGGAGGAGGGAACTAGGATGGACCCCTATAGGTTTGTAGTGCCAGGGGCTAGGCAGGACCTCTGGGTTAAAGGCCCTAAGCCTTGCTCTAGGAGCTTCACTGGACAGAAGCACTCATGATCTATAGGGCTCCTGAATCTGTAGCAGGGATTTAATCTTAATTTAAATTTGGTTATCCAATTTGGGAGTGTCCTGGTTGTGACTATGCTTATTGTCTGTCAAATAGCTGTGACCAGGTATGCTTTTGCCTAGTTTCACCTCCACCAACTGCATGGGTTTTTGAAAAAGGTGATCCTGTCTATGTTCATACATAACCTTAAGTTTTGTTGAGGCTAGGTTGCTTCCAAATATACACTGCATGGACTTGTATATGAAAGCTGATCAGAAAACTTCACCTGAGATAAGTCACTTAATTCACTTAAAACTCTGACTAGAGCTGGATTTTTTGAGCTTGTGACTCTATTGGGACACATTTGGGTGGTTTCAGATCTGGACTTCAACCATTATCTTTAAAGGCTTAAATGGCTTCAGACTTAAACGCCTCCTCTCACATAACCTTAAAATGCAAACAAGATTAGTTGAGGAAGCCCTTCTGAGTCAGGATTCGTGGAGCCAGAGGATTAGGAGCCAGAGGATTATGGTGCATATGCTGAAGAACTCTCTGGCTCAGGAGACCCATCTGATCTCTCCTTGAGAACCACAATATTGCTTAAAATGTTGTGGTGTTATTGTTGTATTGTTTTAGAACACGTTTAAATATTGTTACCTTTGAATACAGGAATACAGGAATGTCCTTCCCCCTTCCCTTTTTTTCTCATTCCTTGACATCTCTTGTTCTCATGGTTACAACATAAGACTTTGACAATGCATTATTTTGAACAGAAAAATTGAGGTAAGACTATAACATACAGTATATCTTGGAAAAATGGTTTGCTGTTGTTCTTGTTTCCAGAAACTACAAGGGACTTCAGGGCCCCTGCTCTTAACCGAGGAGGAAAAGCGCACTCTGATTGCTGAGGGCTATCCCATCCCAACCAAGCTTCCTTTGACTAAAGCAGAGGAGAAAGCATTGAAGAGAGTAAGGCGAAAGATCAAGAACAAGGTCTGTTATTTTACTGTATAAGACTACTAAAGAGCAATGTTAGAGAGGCAGGGGTGAGGGATATGCTGTATAAATATAGATATAGGTATTATCCTTAATTTCTATTCACCCAGTAATATTAAATCATGCAATGAATGGCCTTTCAAAGCGACCATATTATTTTAGGGAGGAGTCAAGAATCTGAAGGAGGAATTCGAAAATAAATTGACTTTTAATCATCTGTCTACCAGCCTGCCAGTCTATCTACCTACCCACTATCTCTTTGTTCCATGTCATCAACATGCAAAGTGCTTGAGGAGGCTATAATCTAAAATTCAACATAGGGAAAGCTACTAAGGAAGCTGAAATAAGTGGAGGACAGAGAAATCATAAGGTGACTAACAGGGACTAATATACTTAGATTTAGTAGTGAAAAATCTTAATATTACTACAGAATATGTGTATGCATGTCAAGATAAGGCTATGCCAAGCCATTCCTACGTTTCTTCATATCTGTAACCTTACCCCCCCCCCCGTATCTTGTGTAGATAATTTCTTTTTAAATAGACACAGAGTCCTAATGGTTGAGTAGAAAAGCTTCTAGATGGATAGATAATCTCTTTCCCCACCCAACCCTATTTATGTACTGCTTCTCCACAAGATCTTCCCCAAGTCATCTATCACCACTGTAACATTATTTACATGCATAAACCCATATGGCTCCATGGAACTTTATATTCAAAGGCAATACCACACTTCTGGGTATGCAGGGTATGCCCATAATAATGGTCTGCAGCTCCTTAAATCAAATGCACCTTTACCTGGGATTTCATTACACCTGTGGAGGACATCCAGGTGTTCCCAGAAAAAGTTGTTGCTGCTTTAAGAAATTGCAGAGAGATACTACATCAATGCTCCTGCACCCTGTCTATGTGTATGTGTGTATTTTATATACATATACATAGAATTTCCTGAGTTACATTAGGAAAAACAAAGGCATAGATAACTATTTATGTGACATCATGTGTGATGACATTTGAGCGTCTATATGCAGAATTTAGAAATGTTCTAAAATGGTAAAGGCACCTTCACGTCCAGCTCAACTCCTTGTGGGAGCATCCATGAACTTTTCTTGGCAATATTACAGAAATAGTTTGCTATTGTTTTCTTCTGGAATTTTTTTTTTTTTTTTTTTACTGTTCTGGAATTCTCAGGGAGTTCCTCCATCTAAATATTAATTAGGGCTAACCCCACTTAGCTTCTGAAATCAGCAAAGGGTAGAAACTGCCATGTGCTTTAGAAACTAGACACTTTTAT